TCCAGACTGCCTCAGCTGTTCCCTCTTCCAGGAACCCTTCCCTCCACTGGCTAACTTCTACTGATCCTTCAAGTTTAGACAATGCCTCCTCCAGGGAGCCTTCCCTGGTTTTCCCAGGGTCAAGTAAGCCCCGTTGTGTGCTCCCAACTGCTTCCTGGGCTTCCCCCACTAGTGCGCTAATCACCTGCTATGTGGTTGTGTTTCTCGACAGCAGACTTGGAGCTCCTTGAGGGTAAGGCTGTGCCTTATTAGCCTTTAATATCCATATCCACTACCCAGCATGGGGCGGGGTATAGTTTGCCCCAAGAGATGTTTGTTGAATGACTGAATGGACATCTATAGAGATCAACCATGTCCCAGGCTTATGTCAGGCATTCAGCCCCAGCGCCATGGAGCACCCACGTGCACGGTGGTCTAAGACACTGTCCAGGGTGAGCCTAGACAGGGTGTGCTAGGAGCTGAGAAAACAGAGGGGCAGCATTGGAGAAGGGATCCTAGGAGACTCTGCCTGGAAGAGATGTGAGGATCCTGGAATGATTGCTTGGGCCAGGGGTTAGGGCTGGGGGTGGGGGGCTGGCTTAGTGACCCAAGAATGGGTCACTTTGTCTCAAACTTGGGGCCGCACCAGGAGTGGACTGGCGAAAGGGCTGCTAGACAGAGAAGCCGGGTCACTTTATGGAGAGCCGTTTCCAGGTGAGACCAGAAAGGGCAAGCCTTGTTGAGGTAGCACAGCTGGGTAGCGGCTTCCAGCCAGGGCTCTGTGCCACCCACTGCCCTGCCCCCTGACCTGGCAGCATCCTGGTTCCTGGCAAACAAGCTGCCCCAGGACCTGGGGATACAGCACCAGAGGGAGGTGACAATAAAAGCTTATCAAACAGCATGTAGGAGGCAGCCACAGATTTCAGCAGCTAAGTAAGCTGTGTCTAATGGTCACTTAGCCGAGAGCGAGCCTCTAAAATCTCAGTGCCCGTGCTCTGACCCTGCAGCGGCCAAGGCTGTTGCAGCCGGGGAGATGGAGTCACTCAACGTTCCGCGAGCTCTCGGCCGGGCTGCGGTGGAAGTGGGAGAGTTTTCTGATGCCAGACTGTACTGGCAGCCTTAGCTGGCTGCTCCCTGGGGAGCACCTGTTTGTCTTGGGGAGGTCATCCAGGAGCACGGAGTTAGAGCTGCCCGTTCACAGCAAGGGGAGATGGAGGAGGCTGGTCTGGGAACCCACCGCGGAATGACTTTAGAGCCTGGTTTCACCCCGGAGTCTCTGCTGCTGCCGAGTACCCGGGAGCCCCTCCCCCAGGAAGCAGAGGAGAGGGGTTCTGTACTCATCAGCCCCCACCCCCCAGAACTATAGAAATGAGGCCCCATATGGACCACATTGGTGTCAGCGTCACCTCTGAGCCCACACACATAGTCTTGGGACCTGCCTCCGCCCTGTCTCACTATGTAACCTCAGGCTAATGCTTAGCCCTCCAGTGCCTCAGGTTCCCCATTTGTCAAGTGGCTGGAAAGTACTCCAGGATTTCATTTTTCTACACTATCTTTCCAAATGATGAATAAAGTGACTGCCCCACACCCTCCTTTACCCTGCTCTGCTCTTCCTGTTCCCCAAACCACAGGGTTGTGTTTTGTTGACTGCGGTATCCCCAGCCCTGCATGTGTACCTGTCACATTGTAGGCACTCAAAAAATTGAAACTCCCAGCAGGCATGTCTCATCCTGATTAACTGCCCCCTCCCAACCCCAATCACAGTGAGGGCGGCTCAGACCATAAAGAATCCGCCTGCAATGCAGGAGACCTGGGTTCGATCCCTGGGTCAGGAAGGTCCCCTGCAGAAGGGAATGGCAACCCACTCCAGTACTCTTGCCTGGAGAATTCCATGGACAGAGGAGTCTGGCAGTCTACAGTCCATGGGGTCCCAAAGAGTCGCACATGACTGAGCAACTAATACTGTTCCAACCCCCGGGTTCTGCTTAGTCCCCTCTCGGATGGGGCTCTTTGCAGACCCCTGTGCACAGGTTGATATGCAAATCTGGAAGCTTCCCTGGTTCTGTTCCACCCTCTCCTTTCCATAGTGGGTGCGTGGGAGCCAGCCATGGCTTCTTTTAGATCCCCCCGGCACGGCTAGGATGAGTGCCAGGGCCTTGGTGGTACAGCCAGTGCTCTGTAGACTTGTTTACAGTCTGCCCGTGACTCACCCACAGCAGCCCAGAGGAGGCTCTGCCCAGGCTGGGCCCAGGCTCGGGGAACCAAGGGAGACACGATCTGAAAAGCCCGCTGGGCTCCTGGACCCAGGGGAGCGGTGTGCACAAGGGCTCCTGGAATAGCCCTGGCCAGGGGAGCAGGGATGGGGACTTGAAGGACCAAGGATGGGCCAGGATGGAACAGGACTGAGAACCTGGCTCTAGCCCGCTGATCTTCTCACTGCCAGTTCTTTATCAGGGCTTCACTCTGCTCTGGGACTGAGGGGCCGGAGATGAAACACCCAGGTCTTGGCCTTCAGGAATTTGCAGGGTAATACAGAAACTTTATGAACCCATGGACTGTAACCCACCAGAATTCTCCAGGCAAGAATACTGGAGTGGGTAGCTGTTCCCTTCTCCAGGGGATCTTCCCAACCCAGGGATCGAACCCAGGTCTCCTGCCTTGCAGGCAGATTCTTTATGGTCTGAGCAACCAGGCAGGCCCAGAGAAGGTAGTGGGTATTATTGGCCGTAAAGGAGGCAACTGTAGGGGTTGATGTAGGGTTTCCTACGAGGTTGTCAATCATTCAGTGGGCTGAGGTTGCACCAAGAAAGTGATTTCCTGGCTAAAGGACCAGCACACGGAAAGGCACAGAGGTGGTGCTCAAACCCCAGTGAGCGACGGGAAGCAGGTCCTGTCCTCCTGGGCTGTGACCTCAGGCCACTCCCTTCCCTCTCTCGTTGTTTCATCTCTCCGAGTGGAGGTGATGTTACTTGGGTAGATGGTTAGGGGGTGTCTTACAAGTTTTCCGTGGGGCTCTCCTGCTCTGGCAGGGGCACTGTGGGAGAGAGACGGGGGTGAGTGGCTGACGGGGCAGGGATCTGGGCGACAGTGAGGTCCTGGTGGCTGGGCACGCAGAATAAACAGGGCTGTGTGTTTAGGCAAGGAGGGGAGCTGGGAGCAGGGCACTGCCAGCCAATTAGACTGTCTCTTCAGGCCCAGTGTTTGCCGATGGAATAAGGGAGACGGGTGTGTCAACAGTGGGGAATGAGGTGGCCCTGAACCGCACACACACATGGGCTGTCCCTGGAGTGAACCATGGAGGTCTCTGCGCAGGGTGTCAGCAAGCAGGGGCCTGGGAAGCCTGATACACCCGAGGAGCTCCTTACACCCGCTAGCAGAGGTGCTCAGAGAACGCGGCCCAGGCTGGGTCTCCAGCCCTCTTCCTGGGCTCTGGTTCAGCCCAGGAGAGGGACCGGGGAGTGAGGTCACCCGCTCTGGGAGGAGAGAGAACCCTGAGTCTCTGTCTCGCTCCATTGGGGAAGTTCCACTGTTTGGGTCCAAGATTGACTCTTGGACCAATTTGATGGGTGATGTCCCCGTCCCCCCGCCCCCCCAACTCAGGCCCTTTCTTTTCTGGACTTCAGCTTTACTCTCTGAAAATGAGAGGCAGGGAGAGAAGCACTTTCGCAGTTTTCCAATGGGACTCCGTCTTTGTTCCCACCAGAGCAGTTCTGCTTTAAGCACTTTGCCTGAGGATTCCTTCCTGCCCCAAACAGGGGCTGGGCTGAGCGCCCCTGTTGTGCCAGGCGGGGGTAAAGTCTAAAGGGACAGCCTGGCCAGGTTCCGGCTTGAGGAGGGGAGCCCCACTCCCAGAGCCTGCACTGGGGCCGCGTGTAGCTCTAGGGCTTGGTGAGGGGGCTCCAGGGTCACACCAGCCGTGACTCACACCCCAGGGCTGCCATTTGCTAGCTGTGTCACCTTCTGGGGCCCTTGTGCCTCGGGCTCCTCACCTGTGGATGAGGAGAACACCCGCCCCACCCCCGTGAGGTCACCTGGCATAAAGCCTTCAAAGGGTGCCCGGTGGGTGCTCCGTAAGCCTCATGCTTGCTATGTTGCTTCAGCTGTGTTTGACTCTTTGCGACCCCATGGACCGTAGCCCGCCAGGCTTCTCTGTCCATGGGGATTCTCCAGGCAAGAATACTGGAGTGGGTTGCCATTTCCTCCTCCAGGGGATCTTCCCGACCCAGGGATTGAACCCTTGTCTCATGTTTCCTGCATTGGCAGGTGGGTTCTTTACCACTAGCGCCACCTGGGGAGTCCAGTTGCTGTCATTCCTGAGGGTCCTGACGGCTCCTCCCAGTTCTGGGAAGGGGCAGCTGTGGAGAGCAAGTCCCGTGATCCAGTCAGGGGGAGGCTGGAGGGGACCAAGAACCCCAGAGGTGGTAGGCAACCTGGGGTGGGGTGGAGCAGCAGTGCTTCTGCCTTCATCCCTCTCCACTGCACCCCATCCCCAGCCCAGAGACATGTCCTCTACTGGACCCTAACACACGCAGGAGCCCCGGGAAAGAGATATAGGGGAAACACCTTCACACACTGGGTCCAGTTGGCTGAAGAAGCCGGGAGGGGGCTGGACAGCTATGTCACCGTGCAGATGAGACCCTGAGGTTCAAGTGTCAGGGAAATGAAGCGCTGACTGTCCATCAAGGGCCAGAGACAGACCCCAGCCTCCTGAGCCCACAGCCTACATCCCCGACCCAGTGGTGGGAGGCAGAGTGAGGCTCAGAGCCCCGCAACACCAGGCCAAGCGAACCTCAGGCCCACCTGCCCTTCCAGGGGCAGGAGCGCCCTGGCACACCCTCTGCAGAGCCTCCTCCCCAGGGGAAGCAGATGGTGCGGGGCCTGCGGAGAACTGGCTGTCTCGGAGCCCAGCTGTTGCGCAGATGTGAGGGGTGGAGGGAGGTGGGGCGAATGGGGGTGAGGAAGGCAGGGACCCTGGGCAGCCCCGGGAGTGGTAATGAGCGGATTAGAGTTATTACAGCCGGATGACTCGGAGCGCACTAGCTCACCCCAGCAACCGCCAGCAAAGGGCAGATCGCTGCGACTGCAGCCGTGACGCCAGGCCCGCTGCGCCCCTGTCCTCCCGTGACCACAACTCCGAGGCAGCCTCTGCGGCCTTCGCACGCCTCATTAGAGCCTCGTGGGTGTGCCTGCCAGCTCTCTGCCCTGACATCGCCCCTCCCCCACCTCCCACGCTTGGCAGGGGGATCCTGAAGCCTGCCTTGGAGCATTGGTGAGTGGGCATAGGATTCCTGTCCAGGGAAACTGGTATAAAGTGCCCCCATCGACTTGGAACTGGGGCAGGACAGGGTGTGGCAGGACCCATCCTTGCCTGTCTGGTCACCTTGACCAGGTGTCTGAAAACGAGGGGACCGCTTAGATCCGGGTCACGGACACCATCATCTGCAGTGAGGGCAGGTCCTCCCTCCCCGCTGGCTTCCTGTCTTCCCATCTGCTTCCTCCCAGAGTAGGAAGAGAGAACCAATATGTCACGTAGCTTAGGGCTGAACACCAGGCTGACAGTAATAACAAAGAACAGCTGAGACTTAGTGCTTACTACCTTCTAACAGGTTCTGCTCTGTGTGCTGGACATGTTCTAATTCCCTTGTCATCAGAACAGTCCTAAGAGGTGTATTACCATCATCCCTATTTTATAGATGAGACGACTGAGGCCCAGAGCTGTTAAGTAACTGGCCCAAGGTCACACAGCTGGGCAGTACAACTGGGCTTCTGTCCCAGCATCCTTACTCCAGAAGCCTCTCTCTCAACTACCGTATTCTGCTTGTCACTGCACCCGCTCCAGGGCCTCTGTTCCTGAGTTGGTGCCCACATCACCTCCTCTAGGAATCATTTAGAAAGACACTTCTCATTTTGCCTGTTCCTCCAATCAGAAACACCTTGTGGGGTCCCAGTGCTCCCATCCTGGCTTTCGAACCCCATCCTTCCTGACTGGCCTCCCAACCTCCCTGCATTCCCCGTGCTCACCCTCCACATTGTAGAGACCAAGCGCACATCTCACACTTCTCATCCACTTTATGAACAGTCCCACCTCTAGATATTTTGCGTGGACTGTGCCCTCTTCCTGGAACATGTGCTCATTGCTATAGGTTCTAACTGACTCCAGTGCCCCTGGCCGTTGTAACTGAGCTGACCCAGGACATACAAGCCATTCCAGAGGCACAATGAGAGAAGGTGGGGTGCGGGGGAGAGGCAGAAATCAGGGGCTTTGAGGGGCAAGTATGTGATTTCAGGGCAAGTCACCAGCTCTCTGAGCCTCAGTTTCTGCAAAATAGGAATGTTCATCCCAGCTTCTCATGAGGTCTAATGATGATGGAGGTGATGGTCCCGATACAACAAGTCTACGACCACTGGTTGGGACAGATGTGGGCTGATCCTGCCTCTATATGTGGAGTTCAGGAAAGACCCTCTGGGGTTGGCAATGCAGGAAAAGCCATCACCTGAGGCCCTTGTTTCTAGGGAGCACCTAACCTCAGTCCCCTCTGCTCTGGTCCCACCACGAATAGCAAAGCTGGGAAGGGGTTTCGGTACCCTGTGGCCAGCCCTGGCGGAGGGCCCACCCCCATCTCCGAGAGCCCAGCGCCAGCCATCCACCGCTGGGAGGGGGTGGACAGCACCCTTCCTCCTCCACACTGCTGTCTCCTCAAAGTCAGAATCCAGGGAGACGGTCTCCTGGCAGCACGGCTTCGGCTGCTCGCCTTGCATGGGTGTCTACGATTCTGGAGACAGGGCCAGCCTCAGATGTGCACTTGCCGGGGGGGCAGGTGACAGTATGGTAACATGGGCAGGTGAGACGGTGGTCCTGGCTGCCCCGGGCCTGTTCCATGGGGAGGGAGAGCAGCTGGCAAGCAGGTGCTCGGAGACTGGGGAGAGCCTTCCCCGATGGATTCGGAACACACTGGGGACCAGCAGGGGCAGAAAACCAGCGGGGAAGGCACAGGATTTGACAGTGGCTGGTGGGAATGTTCAGTGTTCAGTGCTCCCTCACACAAGAGGCAGTGGTGACCTCAGCTCCAGGATGATCCCACACCTCTTCACATCCACCCTCCCCCTCCTCACTGTGTCCGCTCTGTGCCAACCTCAGCCGGACATGGGCAGAATGTAATGAGGGCCAATCTGTACTCTAGGACTTTATACCGGCTTTGGGGCCATGGCTGAGTAGGTGCCTATATAGCTCCTCGGTCCCAGTGTTTTCCCACCTTTGGGGCAGACTTTGAGGTCCTAGGAGGTCCCACCTCACTGCCTAGGACCCTGGGCGTAGCTTCTGAGGTTCCCTGGTCTCCATTCCCACCACTGGATACACAGAACCAAAAGCACATCTGAAGCTTGGTCTCAGCCAAGAATCTAGTTTTGGCCACATCAAAAGGCTTGTGGGATCTGGCTTCCCCAACCAGGGATCGAACCCACGTCTCCTGCAATGGAAGTACAGAGTCCTAACCACTGGACCTTGACGGAATTCCTATAGGCGAGTCTAATTTTAAACATGGACTTTAAAAAATAATTTACAAAAATTAATTTAAAAATAATTCACCTTTGTATTTTTGAGTGGGTCATGCACTTACATGATTCAAAATTCAAAAGGGACGTACAAGGGAAAGTCGTTCTTCCACTCCGGCCTGCCCATTCAGGTCCCCTCTCCAGAAAGGAGCACTATTGCCAGCTCCTGTTCTTCCAGACGGTTCCAGAGAACCGTCACGTTCACACCTGTTCTCATTTGTTCTCTTTTTCAGTGCATATACATCTTGCTCTGTTCCTGGCTTTCTTCCCTTAAAACTATTTCTTGGTTATTGTTGTTTGTCAGCTGAAAACTGGTTCCCCGTTCTTATTTTATGGCTGCAGGTTACTTCATTGTACAGAAGGACTGCAAATTATTTAACTGATCTCCTATTGATGCACATTTAGCTTGTTTCTAGTGTTGGGTAATTACATTAAATATTATAATAAACAACCGTGTACGTGTGCCACTTCAAATGTGTGCCAGCGAGCCTGTAGACAAATTCCCACAAGTGGAACAGCGGGCTGGGACGTGGCTAGGAGCACCCATGAAGGAAAAGGAGGGGGTCAAATCGCCCTTGCTGAGGCTGTCTCATCCTCCCCTCCCACCAGTCGTGCCTGCGTTTGCCTGTCCTCTCACAGCTTTGCCAGCACAGTGTTTTATCAAACTCTGTGAGCTTTGCCAATCAGATATTTGAATAATGGTTTGTCGCTGTGGTTAGAAATTTTAAAACAGCAATTATATCGGTGGCTGTTTACTGAGCAGGAAGGCACCGTGCCAAGCACGTGTTGCATGTGACATTATGCTCATTTCTCACAGAGAACTGTTGGAAACAGATAGCAGCTGTCTGACTTTATACGGGAGAAAACTGAAGCCCAGAGAGGTTAGATATTTCCCTAAGGTCCCACAGCCTTCACGAGGCAGATGGGAGGTTGGAACCCAGGTTGTCTGCCTGGAGCCCATGCTCCTTGCTTGTTTCTAGCTGCCTTCCAGCTCTGGGCTGCTCAGGATCCCCCAGGGTGAGGAGCACCCCCCCGAGCCCTCTCCAACCACACCTGTGCTCTGGGCCCCCCCACCCCCAGGATGTTGCTTCCCAGGAGTGGGTGATGGACAAGGCTTGGTCCCTCCAGTCCTGTTCGGGGGTGGGGCCTCCCTGAGAAGGACTTCCAGAGCCCCTGCTCCGCCCTCCTAAGGCAGAGGCTCAGCAGGAGCGTGGCTCACTGGTCCTAAGCTCCAGGCAGGTGGCATCCCAGAAGGCAGAGCCAATACCAGCTCCCTCGGCAGGCACTCACGGGGGTTCGTTTCCCAGCAGCAACTTCCGCGGGCAGCTCCCCCAGGCCTCTTCCTTTCCGGAGTCCTCCCCTCCTGTCCTCCCCAGGAAACCCACAGCCCCGGTGGCCTGTCCACATTTAGTGCTGGGTCCCCCGAGGCCAGGCCCCTTTGCCCTCTGAGTCCATGCCCCCAAGTGTCTCTGGCACAACCAGCAATCAGCTGGTGAGCGTTTCTGGATTCTCCTTCGAGGGCCCAGAGGTGGGGGAGGGAAGGCATTGAGCCAGGGATACTGGGCTGGTCCCTCTGCCTTCCCGGCCTCACCTCACCACATGTTAAGTACCTTCCTGACCTGCCCCCTCCTCCAGGCTGGCCTCTGTCCAAGAAGGCTGAGGAGACTCCAGCTGCCCAGGAGGGGCGATTCCCCTTATGCCACCCACTAGGTGGCTCTTGGGGGGAACTGTGAGCCTTCCACCACTAAGGCCTTTTCCCTCCTCCACGCCCTCGGGCCCCAAACACCCAAAAGTCTGAACTCTGGGCTCGCCTGTTCAGTGCAATAGTGCTGTGGAGAAGAGCTCCCCAGGACAGGTGTGTGTGTGTGTGTGTGTGTGTGTGTGTGTGTGTGTGTGTGAGGAGTAGGGAGAGAGAGAGACAGAGAGAGAAAGAACGAGTAAGTTTGCAAACGAAGATTGAGCCCTGGAAAGTGTTCTGCCTGGAAGCCTTCCGAGGAGGCTGTGGACAGCGTCCCGGGGGACTCAGAGTGGCAGGTCTGTCACTCAGACAAGGATGAGCTGTTATAAAGCACCCACGGGGTGTCAAGCTCATCACTGGTTGCTGGGGGCACATGGAGCTCACAAAGCAAAAAGAGAAGATGGCTTCAGTCCCAAGGGATTCCGGACACACGAAGGAGTGATCGACTTAGAAAGATCCCTGACTGTCACCCTTGGGTCTCTGCTGAGTCTGAGGCCCAGAGAGGCTAGGTGGAGGTCCTGAGGTCACTCATCAAGCTGGATACAAATTGGGTCCTGAGTTCGGAACTCCTGGCCCAGTGCTCCTGCAAGGCACCTTCTACCACACAATTGAGCGGAACACATGCCCAGACACTCAATGCCTGATGTGGGGTGCGGAGGGCATCTTTTGGGGTTTGCTGGGCTAAGCAGATGAAGGGAAGGTGGCTGAGAATGGTGGGGGCTGAGGAAAGTGTAGAGACCTGCTCGCTGCCTGTTGGAGATGAAAGTGACCCAGGTCTGAGTTCCAGCCTCACCATTCCACATGCGTGTGATCTTGTCAGGGTTCTTCTCTGAACCTCAGTTTCATCTCCTGGGACAGCAGGATAACAACAGGATGTTAGCAGGTTTAAAGAAAAACCTTTGGCCTATAGCAGGGCTCCACAATTCTGCCTGGGAAGGTCAGTACAGTCTCATAGAATGGAACTGGCCCCAGAAAGAATC